TGAACAAGTGGAGATCAATAATGAAAAAAACCCACTACTTTGTGTGTGTGAAACGTGACATGGACAAAAATTAAAATTGTGTCCAGTCACAGTTGCAACAGTTATAGTTGAAAATTCAAACGTTTGGAGAGGAAGACTAATCTTTTTTTTTTCAGAATTAATTCTGCTACTTATTTACTACTATTCATGGATGAAATGACTGCAATTATGTCTTAATTTATAGATAAATGATACATTTTTTTTAAAGCCACAATCGTGACTTGGGACAAAACAATGTGGTTGTGTCTTTTATGTCCATGTCACGTTTTTAATATTTTTCACACTAAAATCTATTTTAGACTAGAATTCTAAGTCAAAAGCTAGGTTTAAGAGAAAAACAAGAATTTGTCCGTTATAGTTGAACTGTCTGCTGTTAGCTATATCGCAACTAAGTCTGGACTTGGCTGAGAAGAGATATTTTGTTTCAAACGGCCCTCAGACATAAAAATTGTTTTTGTCCACAGTGTAATGTCACGTTTGTCACATAAAGTAGCAATGACCACGAAAATCCTTTTTTTGCCAGAAAATGTTTGCAAATAGGTGCATTTTGTAGCTTTATCTTCACTGAGCATAGAACTTTTTGAATTTTTAAAATCCATCAATAAACAAAAAAGTTACGGATTTTTTAATCAATTAATTTCTGGTACACTTTTATATAATGAAAAAAACCCAAAATATGGGACGTTCTTTGGTGAGTTTTGAGACATATTCGTCATAACTCTCTCATTTCTCTGAGTATTTAAAAGAAACTTGGCAACCCAGTACATTTTCTAGTGCAGAATCTAGTCCTGCTTTCAGATTTTTCATAGCTATCCCATTTTTTGAGTTATGAAGACGTTTATAGGTAAAAATGTTGGCCTTTTTCGGTGCGTTTTGAGACAATATTTGTCATAACTCGCCTATTTCTTGGAATATGTAAATGAAACTTGGCAGTCTAGTACATTTTTTAATGCAGAATTTAGTCATGCAGTCAGATTTTTAATATCTGTCATACTTTTTGAGTTGTAAAGACATTAACAGGTAAAAAAGTGGCGTTCTTTACAGATTTACAAAGATTATCAGTCATATGTTCTCCCAAAGTCATGATATTTGAATGAAACTTAGGCAACATAAAAGGTTCTTCCTTGCCAAGCAATATTCTGGATCAATTTGTCACAAAAATGTAAGTAGAGAGCTACTAATAAATCCAGTTTTGTACTAGTAAAAGCATGCATACTTTGTTATAGAAAATAAGATCGTCTCTGTGTATATCCATTGTTGGACAGTGTCCTATTGTGTGGTAGATTAAGATGCGTTCAGATAAAATAGTTTACAAGTCATGGGAATATTTCGCATGTGTAGGCTACAACTCATACAATAAATGTAACATATTTACACCCCCCCCCCCCCTTCTCTCTCTCTCTCTCTCTCTCACGCGCGCGCACTCACGCACGCACGCACGCGTGAACGATAACAATGTATAAACGGGACTATCTTCCCAGACTGGACTAAATAAGTACCATACTCTTTAATAACAATCTTAATGCCTCACTTTTCCCAAACAGAGCACACAGGACGAGTCCAAGTGTGTGCTTTCCCAAGAGGGGGGAATAGGCTTTCATAACGCAAACACAATGCCATACCACTTCTCAAGATGTTTCCTTTTCTGTTTCTATTCTTCTGTCATGCAATCAAGCAAATAAAAATGACTACATCTATTGTATTGTGACTAAAATGCAACAAAAACGCAAGTTATCAAGGCCCCCGTTTAGTTTTCAAGTATCCTTCCCCCCCTTTCCATTTCACATAAGCGGGGCCTCGTTTGTAGCGCCCGAGGCGACCGATGGCTGATGACGTCACTCAGTGGAAATTTCCACGCCGCCGGCCGTTCACCCAGCATGCGCAAATGGCAATGTCGCTTTTTTCCTTAGTTACTCCCACATTTTTAAAGATTACGCCAAAACCGCTAAACACAGAAGCATGAAATTTTAAGGGAATAAAGAAAAATGGTGTACAACGTATCAGTCAGTTTGACAAATCACAGCTCCGAAAAACCTTCAAAGCGCACCACATCAACCACTTTCGCAAACGTTTTCGACTGCTTCTAGGATGGGTACAATGTTGTCAAACTGCATACTACGAGATTGACCTCTTTTCTGATTGGTTGCCAAGTTTCATTCATATCCATTCACGAGAAGCGGCGTGAGAGCGAGTTGAAGACAACAACCTTTGCGTTAGTGCGTCCCATGAAACACCCCCGCTGCGGGGGCCAAAAATCGGCAGAACAAAATGCGCTCGGTGGGCATTGCTACATAAAGCCACATCCAACATATTCTTAACCTGAGAATGTCTTGATAAACTCTGGGTGTAGCACTGTAGACCTATTTTGAATATTGTCAAAACGGAATAATCACGAACGATTGTTGTAGACTCTATGTTCAATAAGATTTGTGGCAAACCGCAGCAAATGTGACTCTGGACATAAATAGTGTTTATGTCCAGTTTGGGGGGAACTGCTAGAAAGTAGCCACTACCTTTAAAAATTCTCACACGGAACTCGTAGTATTAAACAATTCAAATCACCAATAGAAAAAAAATCACAAAAAAGCTATAGTAAACTTCGTAGTAAGTATAATTTTGCTGATAATATAATCATTTTTAGTCAGAATCGGGACATTTCATCCAACTTGTCAGAAACGTGACAATGACAAAAAGTCTGGACAAAAACAGAAACCAACCTGCCATGGGGCTCTCCATTGTAAAATGGCTGCGCCGAAAGCAAAAATTGCTGGATGAAGGGAAGTGCTCTGCCGTCTGTGACATAAAACGCATACAAAAGTCAACTCGTCATGAAAACAGATAGCGTCCTAAACGTGACATCGGGAGGAAAAACGAAGTGGTTCATTCCCCGGTCAAGAAGAACACGCGCATACGCGTTTCGTGGCGTTGGTTCTGACCTCATATTAGAAAGCGTTGCACATCCTTTTGAGGAAATAAACTGTTTTGTACACATGATTTGAATCTTGAATGTAATTGAGTCTTGTATTTCACGTTGATTTGGGACATAAGAGGTCACGTTTCTGACACATTTTTCTAATGCTTATTTTGCTTCAAAAGACCTTTTTTTTTTTATTGCGTATATTGTATCTTGAAAAAGATTCATTTGTCTAAATGGCAAATATTTCATCAAGCAAATGAAAGCAAGGAGAAAGGAACAGGCCAACTAATTTCTAACCCACCTTATGCATGTCACATTTTTTCCTTCAATTTTTTCCCTTTTACGTGAGTTAAAAGGCTGGTATCTAATTAATCCCATGTTGTGCTTAAATTCCAGATAGGACCAGGTTCTTGAACCATCTATCTGGCTTCTGGAGATAGTTTCCACATCAAATCTTTATTTCCACTTATTTTATGGGCTAATTTCAAAAGCATATAAAAACGTACACGTTAGGGTGGAATGACCCATATCTAAATCCAAACTGAAAAAGTTCTAAACATTGAAGATGCCAGTTTGAAAATCATCGACTTACTTAAATCCCTTGTAAAACTGATATAATCGGACTTACAAGAAAACAAGTTATACCGGCCTACAGGTCAAACATAGCACGTTACAATGAAATCTCAATCGGCCTTGTAGCATTTATAGTTTCAGAGTTAGGAGGCTTTCAATTTGCACTAAAACGCCATATTTACTACTGCCCCGGCACAGGAGGAGTGGCGCTGCGGTCACCCCAATTAACCCCTCTGACAAGTGATTTATGACTACGCGCTGGGCTGTCGGGCGGGGCGGGCAAGGTGGTGAGGATGGTCGGGGAGGAACCGGGGAAGGAAAACTAAGTGAGCGGTCTGGACGGTATTTTATCCGCTGTGAGAAAGGCATGGGCAGCCAAGGAAACCGCTACGGACAAGGTTTGTGAAAACATCTGAGAAGTTCAACGAGCACTCAAAAAACCTGCCCAAGATGTCCATTGGGGACAGATGTTTTGTCCAGAACCAGACTGGCAGTAGCCCTAAAAGGTGGGACCGAGCAGGATTGGTTGTCGAAACCGGCCCCAATGACCAATACATGGTCAAGATTGATGGCTCAGGGCGGCTGACGTCAACAAACCGGCGCTTCCTTCGCCAGTTCCAACCTGCCACTTCGACCATACAACCGGCACCGGCACGTAACAGCCCAAATGACTTTGAGGTTACTCTGCCTTTGGAGGAGGAGTTCCATACGGGACAAGAGTATGCGACTGAGCCAGTCAATGAGGAGCAAAGGATTGCCCCAAGCCCTTCCCCTCAGCCCCAACCCCCAGAGGCACCTCAGGAGGCAAAGAAAAGTCTTTCCGCAGCCCTGAAACGCCTTCTCCCACACAATAAAGAGGGGTTACAGGAAGCGGTCAAACCTCAGGAGCAGGGGGGGGGAGAAAACCAAGGGGGGTTAGGAAAGATCTGAACATGCCATGAACTTGGGGGGGGGGATGTATGGTTATTTGTTATATGATATTAGTTCATGTTCTCTGTACGTTATGTGGTGTACCCCATATTATTTCATGTTATGTTGTACCTGTATCATTCATTGTCCCTGTTAATCCGTGTTCACAGATGAAATGATCATCTACCGTTTATAATAAATGAACTACACTGAGAAGTATTTCTTCACTAATTAATTAAAAGCAATCTTGATCGAGACTGAAGTATACCTTTTTCGCTCAAAGAACTGGTGACTTTTCCCAGCCTTCAAATATCCTACAAAGACGAATTTTTCCTGAAATTAAATCAATCGTACAACAAAAAAAACCCTCAGATCCCATCACTTTTCTAAAATTCAGTGGTAATTGTATTTCATTGTACAACGTTCTATGTAAAGCAGTTTCATAAAACCTGGATTCTCTTGAATCTAATCGATAATTTAATATATATTGCAATTAAAATGCACTTTGCACCTGACAGATGTTTTTTATCTACAAAAGCAATGATTAAAAATTCCAACATACGATCCATCCAGAGCCCTCACTGCATCTTCTGCATCTCTGCTGTCTTCAAACTCGACAAACGCAAAGCCTGGAGGCTTACGGGCTACCCATACATTGCGCAGCTGGCCATATTTGGAGAACTTTTCTTCAAGTTCTTGCTTTGCGCAGCCATAGCCCAGATCGCCTACATACACCTTGCAGTCCAAGTTCCAGTCCCGCATGGGAGCGTTACGAGACATCTTTAGATGGCGCTGAAAAGAAAAATACATATTAGAAAAATGATCCATGAGCTCTGCTCTTATCTAATAACAGAACTTCCATGTGATTATTTATAGGTCTTACACCCCCCCAGGAAACCAGGAGTCAAATATTACCTTATAACCTGGGTTCTCCAACTCTGAATAATTAAACAGGAAGTGGAATAATGGATTGTTCTTGATTATTGAGTTTCACTTGACAAATATTAAGCAAAATGAGCGTACATTGTTTTTTAACTGGAATGACCACGAAAAACCTTTTTTTTGCCAGAAATGTTTGCAAATAGGTGCATTGTGTAGCTGTATCTTCACAGAGCATGGAACTTTCTGAATTTTTGAAATCCATCAATAAACAGAAAAGTTACAAATTTTTTAATCAATTAATTTTTGGTACACTTATATTTACAATGAAAAGGTAATTTTTTACTTTCCCTCCCGTCTCACACTCAGCTACCAGTTGTCTATTTTCTACTAAATTAAATATTGATGCGCTGAACATGAATATCAACTTCATTTCCGTCGCAAATTAATAGTTTTTGAAATATTTGATTGTTTTTAACCGAGATAGACATGCTTTGGACCAATCGGAGGGTTCCAGGGGGGCCTGCCCCACTGGGGTAAAAGAAAATCTGGGGGCTTACAGGGGGGATGCCCTGTTTTTAAACCCATAATTTGATATTTTACAGTTAGATTTGAAATTTGTCTTGAAAATAATTGATTTGCAACAGTTTTAGTGGCTTTATGTGTGATCTGCAGCAAACAGTACAGCAGTTTGACCCCTGAAACAGTGCATCTGTGTGCGGGGGTGAAAGTAAAAATTTACCTAATGAAAAAACCCCAAAATATGGGACATTCTTTGGTGAGTTTTGAGACAATATTAGTCATAATTCACTCATTTCTCGGAGTATTTAAAAGACACTTGGCAACCCAGTACATTTTCTAGTGCAGAATCTAGTCCTGCTTTCAGATTTTTCATAGCTATCCTACTATTGCTACATACAACAGGCTAAATGTAACATATTTACACCCCCCCCCCCTCTCTCTCTCTCTCATGCACACACACACAACATTAAAGGTTCGGTAAAATTGAAGAATACCGGATGGAAGTGGCTATTCTCATCCGGGGTGAGAATAGAAAAACGATCTACCTCTCACCCCGGGTGAGACTTGCCAGTGTAGGCTATTCTCACCCGGTGCTAAACAAGACCTGTTTTTCCTCATTTTGGAATACTGTCTATCGGTGTGGATGATCAAATTGATAAAAGCCAAGAAAAAATTACGTTATAGCACAAAAGTAAGCTAATTTGATCGTCTCCAAAGATGCTATGGCTATTTCATTGTTCGAATCGAGCCGAGCTACGCGGGTCGCCATTTTGTTTTGCCCGGAAGTTCTCGCAAGAACTACTCCTCCCCTCTCTCTCTCTCTGTCTCTTTCTGAATACTGTCTATCGGTGTGGACGATCAAATTGACCAAAACAAAGTTTAAAAATGATGTTAAAACACAAAAGTAAATTAATTTGGTTGTCTACAAAGATGCTACGGCTATTTAACTTTTCGAATCGAGCCGAACTACACGGGTCGCCATTTTGTTTTGACCGCAAGTTCTCGCGCTACTCCTCTCTCTCTCCACTGCCCACAGACAAAATTGTACGTTTTTAGACTTTTAGTAGGCTACAGTTGTAATGGAACGTTTGTTCACTGCACAGAATTCTACAATTTTTCTGTTATCACAGTGTAGAATTCTGTGGTTTAGGGTGAACGCAAAATTTGTTGGCCTAGATCTAGGCTAAACATTTTCCGTTTTTAATATCTCTCAATGGAGAATCTCGGACCGGTAGATCTATTCATAAACATTTTGTCAGGGGGGAGACCCCCCTGAACCCCCTCCTCCACCCAGCCCACCTACCAACCTACCCCACTTTCTCGCGCAATAATGTACGAGTGGTCCGGAATTCTTCAATCTTCCCAAAGGTTCCTCCTTGTCAAGCCTAATTCAAATGGCCACCTCTATTCTCACCCGGGGTGAGAATAGTGCAGGCGAGTCTTTTGGCTATTCTCACCCGGTGCGCGTTCACCGTTATAGCCTAGATCTAGGCCAACAAATTTTGCGTTCACCCTAAACCACAGAATTCTACACTGTGATAACAGAAAAATTGTAGAATTCTGTGTTGTGAACAAATGTTCCATTACAACTGTACTTGTAGCCTACTAAAAGCGTACAATTTTGTCTGTGGGCAGTGGAGAGAGAGTGAGAGAGAAAGAGAGAGAACAAAACAAAATGGCGACCCGCGTAGTTCGGCTCGATTCGAAAAGTTAAATAGCCGTAGCATCTTTGTACACAACCAAATTAATTTACTTTTGTGTTTTAACATCATTTTTTAACTTTGTTTTGGTCAATTTGATCGTCCACACCGATAGACAGTATTCAGAAAGAGACAGAGAGAGAGAGAAGAGGGGAGGAGTATATCTTGCGAGAACTTCCGGGCGGGTGAGAATAGCCACTTTCAATTCAAATAGTATTTGGTCTTCAAGACTTCTGGACTTCTCTGGATGTAAACAAACGAAGTGGCTAGCCGTACTTAAGTACGGCTAGACTGAGAGTCTAGCCGTACTTAAGTACGGCTAGACTGCCAGTCTAGCCGTACTTAGATCTAGGTTTGGCCCAATCGACTCAAGCCTGTTAAGTACACAGGTCTCATTAGATCTAGATCTAGTAATTATTCAGGTTCAAATACATGCAAGTCAGTAAGGCACCTTTTGGTTTTGTCTGAAATACAAATACTTTAGGCATTGCAAACTAAAAATTTCATTTACAATTCAGCCATCAATATTAAGTACGGCTAGCCTGACAGTCTAGCCGTCCTTAAGTACGGCTAGCCTGGATGTCTACCCGTACTTAACCCATTGATACCGGCATACGCATAGATACGCACGCTACCATTCATGACGGCATACGCATTTGATACGCATGGCTTTGTTTTGCTCTGTCACTGGACGAGCACGGGACCGATAGACTTGGTATGTTCCATAACGGGTACCTCATCCATTTATAAATACTATCAATCAAAGTCAAGCTTGAAAATATGAATTATTATTGTGTTACAAGCTTTTTTGTAGACTACCCTATAAAATCAGAGGTCGTTAGCTCCTCTGAACAGCGAATTTTGCCGATTTTCGGGCCTTGGTTACGTGCGTTTCAATGCCGCCTACCCTATCATGTTTGGTACCGTCCGAAAGGTCATTCTTCCGCCCGTCATAAGAGTTCAATATAGTCGTCGTAATATGACTCATCACTTTCCTATTCCCGCGGAAAGTAGCGTGGGGTATGAGAGTAATGCGTGCTCTCATTGGCTCGTTCTAAAACAATGACCGAAAGTGTCTATAATTAGCACCGGAAACCGCCGAAGGCTGATGTAATTACTAAAAATAATACCGAAAAGAGACCCGCGCATGCGCACAGCTTTACTTTTTGTCACATCCGTAAACAAGAATTCTCTTTCGCTTTCTCCCGGCTCGCCAAGTGCGTTACACGCTGATAGACTGTTTCACTGCGCTTGCGAGAATCTTTGCACAAAATGCAATGGAATCTTTTCAAGACGATGTTTGAAAGGGAAACGATGTTGAGAATGGAGAGTTTAGCGACGGGATTGATGTGGAGGTGGACGTATCTGTTGAAGGCGCCCGTTACGATTTGGAGCGATGCGTGCGGTCGTTCCGCTTTTATCAACCATGCAAGAAGACGGCGGCTAATACTAGATTTGGGGATTGTCTGACGACGCTGAGAACAAGTACGTCTTTTTCCAAGACCAGTGGACAACTATAAATCTTCACGAACGAACTGTTCTTCAGTTCTGAGGTGTGTATCCCCCAGTATCCACCCTAGAATTACAATTCTTTTCTCCAACTCTCTTTGTTTCACTGTCTGCCCTCTCTCTGCCAGAAGACCATAATTGATTATAGGCCTACACTTGTATTCTTTTCTAAGACTAAGAGTAAGCTGTAAATTCTGATTATATAGATCTAGATCTATATATATAGATTTATACTTTTTTGTAAATGATTTGAGAAAATTACTAGATCTAGTTGTTCAAAACTTCTCAATGTCTTGAATGTCTATTACGGCTTGGCGTTTTTATCATTACCTAGCGGTATTAGGCTATCAGTAGGGGGTTTCCTCATTCAAAACAGCCTCGATGTATCAGTTACAGAAAAAAAAACTATCAGCGTCTGTGATGCCACTGCACACTGATGATTCTTATTTGATTCTTACAAACGGAAAATGTTATTTTTTTATCCTGGGTTCTAGGATTTCGTCAAGGACTTCGCCTCGGGCCTGATTGCAGACAGCATGGACAACAAACAGCCTGCACCACATCAGACCCGGTCCACTCTTCCTCCAACTCCATGTATGATGGGCAGAACCCCTCTGGCAGCATGAGGAAAGTGTGCTAATTTTGTCGGCAGAAGAAGTTTGTCAGCAAAGAGCTGCATCCACCAATTTTAGCTATAGTGCAGTGTAACCCGCTCGTGTATGTAAAATAAGCAGCCAAACTGGATGAAAACATAAACATGACAGTTCAGTAAAAGCTCAACATGCTACAGAACAGTGTTTCATTCATTTCAAGACTACTCTGGAGGCCAGTGACACAAGAGAACGGTCCGAGAGGAAGCAGAAAAATTCAGATCTCATTCGGATCCGCACCAGAACTTTTTGAGGATTAGCTGATTAGCCAAATTCATATCCAGTGTAGAATATGTGTGGCCAATGTGCTTTTTCTTTTTGTGTTTTAGAAAAAATATATTGTAATATATTGTGCGTATTCTTTCGTGGATTGTGTTTTCACTTTGGATTTATACTGTGTCATCTTGAATTTTGAACAAGCATCGATGGGTAAGTAGGACCTGCTGTGTGACATAAATTAACATTTATTTATAGTTTTCTTTAGTGATAATCCTAACACACAGTCATTCAATGTTTATACATTGTGGAAACAGATTACTTTGAGTATTTATGCAAGGAAAAAAAGAAGCAAATTCACAATCTCTTTTTTCTAGTCTGATTTTCAGACGGTCTGACACTCATAACGGGTGACCTTTTTCAAATTGACATAACTTCTGCAACAATGAATGGATTTCTATACAATTTTTTTCAAAGTGAAGGGCTTTGAAAGCTCCACATTTTGTATGAGAACAATGTGGTTGTTAGCAGATAAAAAAATGTTGTATTTAAGGGGTTTTCAGTAGTACAATTTTAGGCAATTTTTGAAAAAAAAAATCCTTGATTCAAATTACTCAAATTTGTCAAATTTTCATTCAAATTGCATGAAAACCACACGAACACATTCACAATTCAATTCCTTTTATAAAAATATATACTTTATGGGGGTTCAATATTTAAATAACAGAGCTACAAGAGTTTTACTGAGGCTACCCCAGTTTGCTGGTCCATTTGCTGGAGCACAGGTAAAATGCCCAGTTCCTGGGGAGCAGCCCTCTGGAAGGGCCTTAGTCAACAATGGGTTAAGTACGGCTAGACTGCCAGTCTAGCCGTACTTATCTTAGGCCCTATTAACATTAGAAAACAGGAGGTTTAAAATACATGCACTGTCATTAAGGCCCCTGGTCCAGTTTCGTCTCAAATACAAATACTTTAGGTACTGCACACTAGAAATGTAAATTTACAATTCAGTAGGCCTATTTTTTGTAAATAGGTCAGTCTAGCCATCATATTAAGAATAAGTACGGCTAGCCTCTTCCGTAAACAAATGGATCGTGGACTTTAACAAACGGAACTACAAGATCACCCGAGATTGACCTCTTTTCTGATTGGCTGCCAAGTTTCATTCATATCCATTCACGAGAAGCGGCGTGGGAGTGAGTTGAAGACAACAACCTTTGCGTTAGTGCGTCCCACGAAACACCCCCGCTGCGGGGGTCAAAAATCCGCAGAACAAAACGCGCTCAGTGGGCATTGCTGAGAAGAAATCCAGAAGTCTTGATGACCAAATAATTGCAAATAGACTACACAAAGAGCAGGGATGCAACCTAACTGCAAAGGACCCAACTGCAAAACATCAAATTAAGATAAAATTCAGGGGGCCCCCCGTGAACCCCCACCTCCATATTTTTATCGAAGTGACTATTTCTCCGAACGTTCGGAGAAATAGTGCCGATCTTTATTTCTCCGAACGGTTTTCGGCTTCCGGTCTCGTGATTTTTTGCCTGTTTATTGCGAGAGTTCGGCGCCAACTTTCATTCTGCCTCTGGTCTGGGAAGGAACACGTACCGCATGGCAAGCCCGCCTACAGACAACCTTCAGTAACACCCACCACACACCCACCACCATCATGCACATGTACACACACTAACTAAACATAACTAGTGGGCAACTTTTGAACGTATGACGAGCTGAACTGTGGATGGAGAGACAGTGTGAGTGAAAGAGCGGGTGAAAGGAAGAATGTGCGAGTGTATCCACAGGCGACAGCAACTACAAGACGACGACACTGACCACCCCTGGCCTGGTCCACAGCTCACGAACAAAAGGAATGCAGCTCAGGCGGTGTTTTGCCTATATTATTGTCCATGGTTCGCAGGGAACAAGTGAGATTTTCTTTATGTGTGCCTGGAGGGATGGGGTGGGGTATGAAAGTCATGCGGACGGGGATGAGCCGCGGGAGAGAACACGGGAATTGAATGAAAGAGTGAAACTGAAAGAGACAAATGACTCATGAGTCCTGGAGTGAATGGATCCTGTGTTTCTATTTTTGTATACTTTGAACTGTTACTGAATAAAGTTAAAGGCTGAAATAAAGCCCGAAAAACAAACAAACACACAGACACACTCCTCACTCTCCACTTACTACCACACACAGACACACTCAAACACTCACACATACATACACACACACACACACACACACACACACAGGAGCAAATTTTTGGGTCTATAGTCTATATCTATTTCAATTTTCAACAGCTAGTCTAGATGAGATTTTTAGATGAGTGTAAAAACGTGAAAAAGAAAGGTTTCACAACAGAAAGAAATCAAAATTAGAACAGCCCATAAACAACAACAAACATTAACAAATAAGGGCGTGTGTCCACCTGTCCGAAGAAGATTGGCAGTTTTAACCCTAAATGTGCGTAATTTTTAAAAAAGTACAGGATATTACATGTAAATTATGGAATCACACACATTAAGGGGCTTGCCAGTGTCAGTACATTGGTCGCAGCAGTGACAAACGCAGATGCCAGTTCTATGTGTCGTTATCAATAACCCTCCGTAGATCTAGATCTAGACAGCACACGAGTGAACACAACACATTACGTTTAAAAGCAGCACCTTTCATAGGCAACACATCATATCTATAGTAGCGAAAAACTGTTTGGAATTGTAGCATTTCTTTATATAAATATTTACGGCGGACATTTTTTGGACCGATTGAACCATATTGTATACGAACAATCTTTGGTAGGCCCATACTATAATTATAGATCTCTAGACTAGATCTAGATTCTAGATCTAGAATCTAGATCTAGATCTATATAATATCCGAAATTTGGGGGAAAGGATGATATTTCAGAGTGTTCGGAGAAATAGTGCCCAGCTTTATTTTCCTGAATGTTCGGAGAAATAGTGCCCAGCTTTATTTTCCCGAACGTTCGGAGAAATAGTGCCGGCCTATTTTTATTAGTCCCCTGAAATCCCCCTTCTCTTGACTTTAACGAACGAAATTTCAAAATCGCCCATGATGCCATGATCAATCAAAGCCTGGCCTGGCGTAACTGAATTTAACACTGCAAACCATGTGAACAGTGGGTAAGCTAGATCTAGATCTAAATTGAGATACATACTTAAAGCAACAAACCTTAAAAATCAAAAGGAGTTAAACAGCGTTTAGCAAATTGAGGCAAGGACGCTAGGTAGTTTCTTGAGGTGGACAACCACGACGACTTCTGTTGCGGAATAGAAAATGGCGTCGTCGGAAGTCGTTCGTCTTGAGCAAACGGTTTCCCAGATTTTGTTCGATTGCCAGGTAAACTTAACCCAAACGTCGTTAAGCAATGTTTTGGCGATATTTGACATGTAGGCCTATAATAAATGGTTCAGAGATATTATGGAAAACAAACAATTTAATGAAAATTAAAAAGCTACCAAGCAAAACGCTTACGAAAAATTTTACTAATAAAATGGAATGAACTTATTAGAAATAATGAATTGTTGAAAAGAGCTGGAATTGAAGATATCAACACGACCATAAATTTATAAAAATAAAAAAGAGAAGATGGAGATATTTAGGACATGTTCTAATAATGCCTAGACAGACAACTACATGTTTTCCCTGTCAGACATGGTATTGAAGACCAGCTGGAAAAATGAAAACGAGGAAGACCAACAAGCTATATGTAAAGGCACAATAGGTCCTTTTGGACTATGCTTTCTCAGTGTCAGTACGTATTTCCGAAATAGGTGGCTCCGGCTTTGAGGGCCGGTCCCTAGATTCAGAATAAGAACGTAGGCCGGCCTGATTCTCAGTAAGGTGAACGAAGATCACTGCGAAAAGCGACGATAGACAGATGCGCTTTAACTGGTGATGGAGCATTCTCGCTTGTACAGGCCAGATACCGAGCCGGGTGGCTGCAGCATTGAGGACCTGTTAGTGTTACACCCGGTTACGTCCACAGTGAGTCTGTGTGAGGCACAGAATTCTACACGACTTGTAAGTGTAGAATTCTGTGGTGTGAGGTGAACAAGGCACAAAGCGGCGACAGAGAAATGCGCTGAAAGGGGCTGGAGCTAGGCTTTCTGGAGCGTTCTCGCTGTGTAGAACCGACTATAGTGAGTAGAGTTTGTTTTTTTTGTAGTGTAATAAAAGTTTAGTCTAGATCTAGAGGTCAGTCTCTGCATTGTTGTCATTGCTCTTGGACGTGCATGTTCTTATTTTCGTTCGGATTTACTGTTACCATTTCTACACTTTCCTCTCTTCTAAGGATTTCACTTGTGCATGCTCTTATTTTCTTTTGGATTTACTGTTACAATGTCTACACTTTCCTCGATTCTAAGGATTATACTTGTGCGTATATTACATTGTGTGTTTTAGTGTTGAGCAAGATTACAGTTTTATTTCAACTTGACCTTGATCGTGACAGTGAAACTTACTTTCAGTTTCAGTGCGACGCATCATGGTGAGTGCGAGAGACATGGGAAGAAAGCTTTGCAAGTGGGGCTGTAAAAAGCAGCCGGCCAAAAAGCAGATACCAAAATAAAAATTTATAGATTTCCAAACTGGGTGGTTGGTGGGTGCTCTAGTATAGTTTGTCTCTTCCTTCCTATCATACGGCTATCGGTGTACTCCCCTCTTTTACTTCAATGTATCATGTTACAGGAGATAAGCTTCAAAGTTGTCATCACGATGTCGTGCATGTATAACAACTTTATTTATTAGAGGTAACAGATTGCTTTCTTTATCGACAGCTGACGGGATTCAGTCAATTAATCTTCTTTCCTAGGAGCTAAATATATATCCAAATGTGTAGTATTATATGAGGAAGATGTCTCTTCTTTCTGTTGCAACTGAAGATATGACTTCCTTTTTTTATACGAGCGAACTCGCTCGCACAAAAGAATAAATAACAAATAAAAATGCATTGAATTTAAGGGGGGGGGGGGGGTCGCACCTATTTTTGGTCAATCTGGGTTAAATTGGGTATTACAATATTTTGTTGCCTTTCTCAGCCATTTCTCTGTTGATTTGATTGTCCTTTGGCACAATCGTAGCTAGTTAGATGCCCAACATTTTTTCTTCTTACATTGTTTTTCTATCTTCACTAATTAGGGAGGTATCTCATTTTTTGTCAAAAATATTTGATTTTTTAATTTTTGACACATTTTTCAAAACTCCTCTGAAGATTACAAGTGTATCTTGATGGCACTTGGCATACTTGTTGCCCTTATGGGTGGTTACATTACATACATTGTCAGCGGTTTTTTTTATATCTATCTTGGTTTTCATTTTATGATTTTAAAAATTTGGAAAATTGACCGTTTTCTGCATTTTTGACAAGATTTGCACGCTTCTTCCTGTAACTCCGAAACGAAATAAGATATCGAAAGATACTGACTATGTTTAACTTATATGCCTCTTGGGTACATGTGTGCCAAAGGACAATAAAATCTTTCAGTAAATTTCAGAGGAGTATTGATTTGAAAACATGATGTGAAAATCCAATATGGCGCCATGCGGCCATCTTAGATCAGGGAAATGTTGTTTTTTTTCATCGTAATAACTGTTTCATGACGAAGTTGTATGCCAAATTAAAGGTTTCTAGGTCCAGAAATAAAGGAGTTAGCTCGCTTGTAGGACCCCCCCCCCCCCCCTTAAGTAAGGTTCACTGTCGGCCAAAGTAGTGAGCACAAGCGAGAATGCTTCGTCTATCTCCGTTTTTCGCACTGATCTTCGTTCACCGGACTGAGACACGTTCATCGCCAGGTTTTATGGAAGGAAAGAGGAAAAAGGCGTGACGACAGATTACAGTCGGCTGCTGCCAGCAACTGGCCGGGCTCAGCGTGAATTAACTTAGCCTAAGGGATACATGATAATATATGGCAATCGCCCAGGGCCTGCATGGATGGATGTGCAGAGATTGGAGGTGGTCAGGGACAACCAAGCCTATTATATAGGCCTCTATGTAAATCTACTTGAAAGTGTAAAGAGAGAGTATTAAAATTAAGTGATTAAAGAGTAGGCTAAGTAGATCTAATTTTGTCAAACCCAACAAAATCTCATTTCTTGACAGATGAGTTTAAGGGGAAACAAAAAGCCTTTACCAGTTTCTCATTTGCACCGTTGACATTTTAGACTCCTGTTATCATCCCGTACGATTTTCACAACCCGTATAACTGTTTTCTACACTATCTGTTCAATAGTTTTAGAAGTGTCTATTACATATATTTATATATTATATATAATATATTGTTCTGCGCAATTTACCGATCAGCGCAATCGCAATCTACGCGTTTTAACGATCGTATAGTATAGTTGCGGGGAAATCCGAAGATTACGTTATTTTTTTATTTTTGAAGAGCTCACAGAGATGAACGATGTCTCCAACACCACACCACCAGATTAATCGAAGAATGTAACAACTACGAAATGAAGATCAACATCAACAAAACAGAGACAATGAAAGTAAGCAGAAAGCCAGGACCACTCAGGATACACATCAACAACAACAGTCTGAGACAGGTCCAAGAATTTAAGTAATGTACCTTGGAAGGGTATTCACAGAGGATGGGCGACTGAACACAGAAATTGAAACACGTACAAAAGGCCAATAATCATTATTAAAATCTGTTTAACTTGCTACAAGTGCTTAAATGATTTATCACCGGACTATCTAAAACAGATTTTAACACCCTATGTGCCTCCTACAACGCTCAGATCATCAAGTGACAAAACAACCCTTGTTAAGCCTAAAATAAATTACAAATCATATGACCAACGCTCTTTTTCATATTTTGCCCCATTTGTTTGGAATAGGCTTCCAAAAACTATCAGAGAAGCAGAAAATCTAGAAATTTTTAAGAAGAAACTAAAATCATTTCTATTTTCATCATATTTCGATTAGACAGAATGCATCCAAGCTGTAGATCGTTGTGAGTTTGTATGTGCGTATGTGCATATGTACGTATGTGTGGTGCGTGTGTGAGTGAATATGTGTTTGCATGAGTATGTAACACTATGTACCTTTAAAATTGATTTGTAAATCCATAATATTATGTAGGCCTTTCATGTTAAGCGCATAGAGCATTGCATAAGTGGATATGCGCTATATAAATGCAATCCATTATTATTATTATTATTAATAATGTTAATTACCAGCTTACTCCACAAGAACTGAAACATCCTAACACCCCAATGACAACAAAACTCAAAAATGATCAACACCATATATTCATCCCAACACTCATCAAAGAATTACAACATCTGAAATACGATATCGTAGAAAAGCAGAAAACAATACCAGGCGAGCAGGCGCGGTTCGTCCATAGAGCGCGGTCGTGCAGTGCCGGCCAAAATTTTGAATGTTCTATTGCGTAAAACACCCACAATAATAGAATAAAAGAAGCCAGAAACAAACACAAGCCAAATAATATTATATCAAAACAAAGGTCCTTACTGGCGCCATAACTGTCATTTCTATGTCTATAGCGCCGTAAAACATATACTATGCCATGCCAAAGTCCACGCGCTTTAGCTAAACAGAAAACGATATTCAACAGTGTAACCTGACCTATAAATCGCTCTTGGGGATAACCTAAGCGATGACGACACTCGTAGCGAGTTTGGCGGTACATTAATTATATTAATAAGCCGCCACATCTCAAACGTGCTCCTGCCGAATAGTGCCGAAACATAGCCCTCAGTACGAAGTCTAAAAATAAACACGATAGACCCTTCGCTCTTCTTTGCCAGTATTATGTGAGCCCCGGAGCAATCCAGCGGAGTGCTCAGGAGAACTGTGATTGGTTCATTGTTTGTCTTGCCACTATTTTAAGTGACTCTGTAGCCGTGAACCTGAGGGAGGTGAACGTGACCGTCCTGTGAGTTGTGCCTTTGAATGGTTTTGTAGTGGAGTAGTGAACGTTATTACATGTACTTGAGTGTTCAGTTCCAATACAGGAAGAACACATTGATGTTTAGCTAACAAACAAATTTAGTACTAGAAATCAAAGCAACCAGTAAGAAGAATGAAAATAAAACCACGAGGCCCTCCCTCACCAACCCGAAGATCCTAAAATTATACACCGTCTCATTTATTATGCCCTTGACTATCTTCAGCATACCCTAGCTTATTGTGCACGCCCACTTTTTAGCCCCACGAGCCGCCCCTGCAGGCGAGACAAAATTAGAAACGCAGTAATCAGAGAAATGGTGGGCACAAATTAAATGATGTCATGCATCACATCCAACACCAAAGAGTCAAATGGTTCGGACATCTCATGCAATTACCAACACACCATCCAGCACAACGTGCCTACATAAAAAAAAATTAGATGGCCACAAGGCTAGAGGGCGACCGAGAAAGACCTGGATAGATGGAGTCAGTAAAACTCTAAGGCTAGGCGTGCACAGGGCAACTTTAGTTGTGCAATTTTTTTTTAGCCCAAATGTCAGCAATGAAATAGATAAACACCACACCCACATCAAACTGTCTCCGGGCTCGACAAGGCCCATCCACTCTCCACTTTTTTTCACTCAGCACAATAGACAGGGGTAAACACAAATGCATTATTTCACTTTCGCAAGAAAAGAAAACGGGTAGCGATCCATAGCGATGAAAATTTTATTTCTATCATTGAAAAGAAGCCTCTCCTCTACAACAAGACCTTAGATGAGTATGCTGACAGAGATAAGAAAAAGAGAGCTTGGATCGAGGTTTGTGAGGTTGTGATTGAGAACTGGGGAGATCTGAGTCCAGAGGAAAGACAAGTGAAGTCAAAGGTGAATAGTTCTAGAGTATAAAATGTATTTCCAATAAGCCACGGACATGAATTAAACACTGTTCATGTGGAAAGGGGGCGAGCTACTGGCTACTCCGTCGTGGAAGTTCATAACGTCAAATGAGGAAGTCAGTAATGATGAAAGGCTAGCCTACTGTTGCCTCGCTGTTGCTTAGCTATGTGCGCGCGGCGTATAAAATAAGTTGCCCGGGGACAGCAACTGTGACGCAACTAAAATTGCCGTGTGCGCGCCAAGCCTAAGTAGAACCATATTAACGCCCGACACCAACAGTCAGACATGACCCGTCGTTTTCAGTCGGGTGCGGACGACTATA